CTACCAGAGCTCCTCTCACCAAAGTAGGATATAGAATATTATCCTTGTGGCCTATGTTATACCAATTGACCTAAATGTACCCAGAGACCTCCCCAAGTTTTGACCCTTCTACCCAGTTTTAGCGCCCTGGAAACCCAACGGGGGTCATAATGAATCGGAATCAACTCAGGAGTGTTTGGTTTTTTTAGTCCACACCATGACTTCCCTTTGCCTTCTGAGTTTTGGGCTTCAGCCACCTGAGAAACTCAGAAGTAGAGAGGCTGGGCGCTGAGGAAACCTTAATGACTCACCCAACTTTATCAAACTGGTACTGATTGGCTGGATTTGGGGTTTTCTTTCCATGATCCCCAGGATACAAACAGCTCAGGATTGAGTCAGGAGACAGTAAGTCACTGGAAAGGGGAGAAGAGCATGCAGTAAGAATGCTGGCCAACATCTTGCCTCAAGATAGGATTTGGGCATTTGGGGGATGGTGGTGCCCAGTGATCATCACTGCCCATCACTGATTATCAATGATCAATGGCACCATTCACTGAATGCTTCCTGGGGCCCAGACCCTTTCTGTGATTGAGGTCACTGAATCCTCACAACCCTGTGACATAGGGAGTATTATCACCTCCATTTCACAGAGGACAAACTCAAGGCTCTGAAGACACGGCTTGTCTGAGATCACACTGCTAGTGGGTGCTAGAGCCAGGATTTGCATGGTTTGACCAGAGACAATACCTCTAACCAACTGATTACTTAAAAAAGAAAGTCCCTTCAAGAATTACACGGGGACCAGGACCTTACCAAAGGGGAGCAAAGCCCAGTGATGCTGACAACAGAAGTATTTACAATTCTCACAGAAGCAGAATAAATGCCTTTCTGCCCCAGAGAGAATAAGCATGCAGCTCTGATGCTGTGTTGGGCTCACTTGGACCAAATCTCCTACAAATCACAGAAAAAGATCCCTTTATGCTCCTGGGAAAAGATACTATCACATGCACTGGAGACAAGGTGACCCAGTGCTGTAAGCAGACAGAGTGACACCACTGTCACCCACATGGAATGATTAGGGCGCAGTCCGTAATTAAATGTGACAAGCAGCAGAGAAGAGATGGCCCGCTTTGGGATAGGGGAGCATGTATTCATTTCATCACAAAGGACAAGGCCCATTCTTTCCCTGAACCAACACAGGGGTCTTGTCATCTGTGCACAGGTAGCACCAGGAGCAGTAAAGAGGATCTGCTCATCTGCACCTCAGAGTGTTCTGGCCCCAGCATGTCTCTGAGGACTCAACACCAGGACCGCAGTGATTCTGGCTCTTCCCTGGTCTCTGTCGCCTCCAGTCTCCCTGTGCCCTCAGGGCTCTCTGCCCCTTCACTGTCTCCTATGGAGAACTGGCTAGAAAGTAAGTAAAATCTTCAGACTTTTAAACAATGTCCACTGACTATTAGTGATAGAAAGAATTAACCAAAATACAACAGAACATCTGAAACCACACATGATAAAGTCCTTTGACTGACAAAAACTGATGGAACAATCAAATCCTGATGAAACTTAGATCTGTTAATATGTGGCTCCTGTTAATATGTGGCTCAGGAATACAGAATGTGGTAGAAATAGTGGACATGAAAGGGGAAATTATATATAAAACTATTGATACCAGAAAACTGTTCAATGAGTCAACTCTTTGTTATAAAATCTTAATGGAAAAGAAAGGATTAACAAATTTGGTAAACTGAAAATGGAAAATTATTAAAATGGTTTAATGGCTTAATGAAGAATGAATGAATGAATTAAATTGGCCTAATGGAGATCATTCTGGAAAATAACTTTTTAAGGAAAAGTCAGCAATGTTGGTATGACTCTGATTACAATGTTTATATTAAAAACACTCACACTGCAGTGAATTAACAGATCCAGGTAACAGTCACCAGTAACAGAGACAACCTGTGCCTCTGGATGGAAATCTCAGACAACATGTATGACACAGTTGTGCCCCTGGATGGAAATCTCAGACAACATGTATGACACAGTCGTGCCTCTTCTGCTCAACATCAAAATAGAATGTGATCAAGCCTCTAAATCTAACTACTCATTTATAGGAAGTCCTGGGGGAAAGAGTTTAATATGTTAAACTGCACTTGCATCCATCACAATCCACAAAGACTCAAAGAGCAAACAACTTGCATCCCTCAACAAATAAACAGGAAGGGCAAAAAAGATGGTGGGACATTTAGACGAAAAGAAACTTGGGAGGCTCCACCCAACTGCCACATACGGACCTTAGAGTGATCCAGATTCAAAACACAAACTGTGAAGACAACAGACAATATTTATGAGAAATTCGAGTAAACTTGAACCCTGAGTGGACAGTGGATGATATTAAGGAACTAGTGTGCTCTTGTGATTACGCTGACATGCCTCTGTGTTTTAGAGCATGATATCCAGAGCAGATACAGACACGCCAGTAGTCCTGAGGATGACACGGGACCAGGTCATGTTTCCTTCTCTTGTACATAAAGTTGTCATGACTTGGAGCTGACTTGACAGAATCCATCCATATTTTTAACCAGACTGGTGTCTCCATGGGATTAAAATAGCCTATAGTTGAGCAAATACTTCTGTATGGGCTGAGTCTAGAGCCTCAGGTTCTAGGCCCAAGGATTCAATAACTAGAGATAGGCACTTGACTGCTAACCAGAAGGCTGGTGGTTCAAACCCACCAGCCACTCCTCAGAAGGAAGATGGGGCAATCTACTTCCATAATGATACTGCCTCGGCAACCCAAGGAGGGGTCGCTATGAGTTGGTCCGACTCAACAGTACATAACAACATGCCCCCTAGGCCTCAGTTTCTCAATCTGTAAAACAGGGGTATGAGCTAGATAACACCTGAAGGACCTTAAAGGTCTAATCCTGGCTTTATGCCTCCTCCTTCCTTGGGGCCTTGAAAGCTGTACCCCTCAAGGTTACACAGACCTGGCCACTTTGATTCACTCTTCTCCACTCACCACCTATGACCTTGGGGCAGTTGCTTAACTCTCCAGAGCCTCAGTTTCCTCACTGTGTAGAGTTCCTGTGAGAATTAAACGAGTTGACAACGATAAACATGGCTGTCACTCAAAAAGTGCTTCATCTATGCTCAGACTTGACCTGACTCTTCAAAAGCAACCTGGGAGGGGATACCAGAAAACATGCTCAGAGGCCAGGTCATCTGCCTAAACTTACACACACAGCTGTGAGTGGCAGAAGCAGCAGTTGCCCAGGCTCTGACTGTGAGTCTGTGGTCCAGTGAATTACTTGGTATGGCCCTTCTAGCTGCGGACTTTGTGACTCCTACCACATGACGGTGTAACTACACAAATGTGAGGTGCTCATGGCTTACCAAGGGCGAATGGAGCGCTCATCAGTAATGTCACCCTTGTGGGGGTGGAACTATGGAAATAAGATATATAGAACCCTAATGTGGGCATTGGTCAGTTTTGTCATTTCGCTAGGCTTAAAATGAGCCCTCCCAGAGGTGGAAAAGGGGGATCTCACTGCCATCAAGACAGAGAAGAGACAAAAGCAGAGCACGTCCTTGGACCTGAGATCCCTGGACTAGATCTCCTTGGCACAGAGACTGGCAGAGGGACTGCGGCAACAAAGGCAAAAGAACTGAGATTGGCACGAGGCAGAGTGGCAGCTTGCTGGCTCATGGAGAGAGAAAACCGAGTGCGTTTGGGTACGAGGCTTGCTGGCAGAGTGGGTGTACCTATCGGCAGAGCTAAAAGAGCTTTGTAACACTTGCCAGAGCAGGGCAGAGGCCAGGCCAAGAGGCCAAGGGCCAGAGAGGTGTGCCTGAGGGCAAGCAAAGCGGAGACTGTTGTGATCGAAGACTTGTATCCTGAGCACATTCCTGAAGTGAATTGTAACTTGTTACTTCTTTAACAAATCCCGTAATTGTGAGCACAGTCTGTGAGTTCTGTGTGAAACAAATGATCAAATCCAGCAGAGAAGTAGAGTGCTGTGGGAGGGGCAGTCGGCGTCAGACTGGTAAAAAGGTGGAGAGTGGTGGCACGTCTGACCCCCGTCTCACAGGGGATCAGCCTCGGGCTGATGCTGCTGATGGCGATTCTCTCGGCTCCTTATGAAGTGGGAAGATCAGAGGGTGTCACCCACGTGCGCTTTTGGTCCACGGGGCTGCCTCTGTTGCAGCACATAGAGCAAGGAGCTGCAGTAAGGACACAGCAAAGGCCGGCCTGTGGGTCTGCTATGGGTGGGGAGGCATCTAAGAAGCTAGCAGGCAGAATGCTCAGGAAAAGCTCCACCACGACCAGAGGGGCCCAGGAACTGCTTCCTGAACAAGAACCCTGGCTGAGCGGTGTACCTAGACGCTCTGAAGAAGCCAGTCCTGAGCTCCCTCTGCTGGGGTCAGGTGGGAACAGGTCAATTTCATCAGAGTGTCTAGGGGTGGCCAAGCACAGGAACAGAGGCTGGGGTCTGAAGAGGAAGGGAGCTCTAGGTGCAGGGTCTAAAGAGCCCCATCTGCCTAGGCACCAGATCTGCGCCCCCGAACCCCAGTGATTGCGTATTTCCACGGCTGACACAGCTCAGGAGGACCATGTAGACACAGTGCTGGGGAGAGGATTCTCGTAAGTGGAGGCCAGTTCACCCAAGCTGTCTTGGTCCTCTCTTCCAAATGCGCTTGGTGTGGAACAAGCCTGCAGTGGCCAGGGGCTCCCTAAGAATACTCAGCCAGTGTCTGCATTACTGTGCCTCTGCTCAGCTTCCCCAAAACCACCCCAGGGCCTCAGCACAGTCCCTCATTCCACTGCCCAGGTCACCTGGATTCAGCTAGGCTATTAAGCAAAAATCCCAGCACCTTGGGACAGAAAAGAAAAAAGGAAGAATAGCCTGTATTCGTCAACCTGATAATGTCTGCCAAGTATCATTTTCACATTCACACTCTTACCACTGGTTATAAAAAGTTGGTGCCCTGCCCTGCCTATTCAATTTGCAAATACTCTGCAGTCACCCATGTCATCTGCTGTGTAGTAACGGGACTTCACAAATTAAAATCAGTGAGTGTTTTCTAAATACCAGTGAGGTGCCAGGACTTCTAGGCTGTGTGGATATGACAACAGAGCCTCCTTAGAGCCAGGAAGGCTGGATGCAAGAGCAGCCCAGCACTGAGGCTCTCACCACATCCCCTACTACCTGCCCCGACCCATAAACCACAAACCAAAGCCACTGCCATTAAGTTGATTCCGACTCACAGCAACCCCCACTGGGTTTCCAAGGCAATAAATCTTTACAGAAGTAGACTGTCCCATCTTCCTTCCACGGAGTGGCTGGTGGGTTTGAACTGCCAACCTTCTAGTTAGCAGTCAAATGCTTAAGCACCGTGCCACCAGAGCTGCTTCCCATCTCCACAGCCCCTGCCAGTACCCTGCACTGATGGGGGTGATGAGCTCCGTGGCGGTTGTCACTCTGGCTTTTACTGTCATGATGTTGAGGTTCATGAGGTAGTAGAAGGTCAGGTGAAGCACACTCTCATCTGGAGGGAGGGAAAGAAAGGACAAGGTGATTTATGAGTGAAACTCTAAGACCGCAGCCAACAGGACGATAGCAAAGACATTCAAAGAGGCTTTTAAAATCTTTTATTATAAAAACAAAACCTTAATGGCAAATGATGTTGAGTAAGAAAAGGAAATTCTTTGATACTCCTCTTCCAAAAGGTAGAGCTTAATTCCTCGAATGTGGGCTGGACTTGCTGAATCCCTTCTAACAAACACAGTATGGAATGGGAACGTGGTAACTTGAGTAGGAAAAGACTTCACCTTAACCAAGTGATCAGGGTAACATTACCAGAGACAAGCCATATTGGTACCATGTACTTGATACCAAGTGATGAATGCTGTATCTGTGGTAGTATTCCCCAAAATCCAAACCCTGAGTGTCATCATGAAAAAGCACCAGACAAGCCCAAACTGAAAGACATTCTACAAAATACCTAAGCTTCATCTTCACAAGTGTCAAGGTAATGAAACACAAAGACTGAGAACCTGTGACTGCCTGCAGGGCACCAAGGGGCATGACAACTGAATGTACTGTAGGACCTGGCTTGGATTCTGGGACAGTAAAAGGACATCAAAACTGAGGAAACGTGAGTTGATCCAGTAGTTAATAGTACTGTACCAATGAAATTAACATTGGTTTTGATCACTGTGCTGCAGGTAAGGAAGATGTTACCATTAAAAGGTGCTGGGTAAAGATTACACAGAAGCTCTCGATCATCTCTGTAACTCTCCTGTAAACCTAAAATTACCTCAAAATAAAAAGTTCAGAGAGAAAAGGCAAAGAGATGACGAGTGCATAAAGCATATTTCCACTTATGCAAAAAATAAAGGGAAACCTACAAGCACTCAGGTGTACAAACCCTGAAATTGATCAAGAACACAGAGGTGCTTGCTTCGGCAGCACATAGACTAAAATTGGAACAATACGAAGATTAGCATGGCCCCTGCGCAAGGATGACACGCAAATTCGTGAAGCGTTCCAAATTTTTGTGAATTTTCTCCATAAATTTTCACCCAAATCACACACAAAAAAAGGATCCAAAAGTATGAAGCTATAAATTGAACACAACTATGAGTTCAGATCCTGAAATCAAGAACAAGTACTCCTTGTTCTGATCCTGAAGAAAAGCAAGAAGTCACCACGAAAACAAGTAAGTAAGTAAGTAGGAACTGGATAAATACTCACTTACATAAAAACTTTTAAGTCCACAAAATATTACCAGGAAAAAATAAGAAACCTGTACCAATGATCGTCCTCAGGGATAGGACTGAGAAGGCGGCGTCTGGGAGTATGGAGTTAGGGAAACTTAATCTCACTGTACTCTTACAATGCTGGGATGTTTCATCATGGACTATTTTTTCTGTACAAAACCAGTTTCAAAACATACGTATATTCTCCACAGAATACAAGGTTTTACTTATGTATTAAAACTAGCACATTTTTATAGTCATCTGTGTACCTGACCAGTCAAATTCAGAAAGAGGTGTCATTTTACCAAGCTTCCCTTACGTGTCTGGATTACTGTTGGTATATTGCTACGGTTATGACTTTAAACAAATAAATAAGATTTCATGTGAAATAAGGAGGAACAACAGAGGAATCTGAAACTGGAATCTTTGGGCAAAGAGGCCTCTGGCAATCCTGACCCTCTACTCCTCTTAGGGCTACGGAACCCTGGGAGCAGGGCGGGTGCTGGATTGGCTGCGGCCGGACCTTTGTACTTCAGGGCAAGCATGACGGACAGTGGGTGCCTCTTCAGCATCTCCTTGCGCTTGTCATCCAGCTGAACTCCCAGTGTGGGTCGCCGGCGTTTCTGGACAAAGGGAAAGGCCCGCAGCAATGAGCAGTGGTCAGAGGACTTACCCTCTCTCTGCCCCAGCCCACCAGGTCCTCAGCACCACTGCCTGGGACTTGCTGCTTCAGCTCTTGGGGCTACCAGGCTCCCCAAGTCCATCCTTTCAAATCTCTTCTTTTTCCTTCTTAGAGAGGATGGCACCTGCCCACAAGCAGAACCCAGGGCAGGGGCTTGGTGCCCCCACAAGAGGAATCAGCTCTCACCGTGGTCTGTTCCTCCTCAGCGTCTGAGTCACTCTCGTCATCTGCAGACACAGAGGGAAGGCAGCTAGGGATGAGGGGCTCCAAAATGCTCCCCAATGCACCTAAACCCACAGGGCTTGAAGGCACCCAAACACAGCATCTCTAGTCAATAGGCTTCTTTAGAAATAAAGAGTCAGTGAGTTCACTGCTTCTTATTCAGTACAGAACACAATAATGCAAAAGAATAGTAAGAAGAAAGAAGTTTAATCCTACTTTGTTTTGTTTTAAAAAATAATATTTTAGAGTGTTTACAGCAAATTCGGTTCCCATTACATTTTTCAAAATGTGTCAATGTTCTTTTACTTCCATTCAGGGTATTTCATTTCCAATAATCTGGTTTCGTGTTCTCTTACCCTTCCATCTTTGCTTCAGAATAATTGTTAACCATTCACCTTTGTTTTTTAAAAGGTTTCAATGCCACTTCTGTGGACCACAGACCATTAGTGGTGGTGCTGGTAGTAATAACAGTAGTATAAATAACAGTAGGAGTTATAATTTGCAGGGCTGCTACATGCCCAGCATGGTGCCAGGGGTTTGTGTGCCTTACCACATTCCAGCCACACACTAATCCTCCATTAGGTACCACTATCCTCTTTGGTACCAGAATAAACTGAAGAGCACCAATGATAAATCCCTTCCCCATGGTCTTGGAACTAGTGAGTGGCAGGGCTGAAATCCCAGGGCAGGGTCTGACTTGAGGAAGAAGCTCCTCCCTATCCACCCCAGAGCACTAAGACATTGGAGCCAAGCTTCCTGTCAGGCAGAACCAGTACAGCCAAGTTTCAAAGGACCAGCAGTGACTCCAGGTGGTAATCTGGTTTCCCTGGAACAAGCTACAGAAGTTTCCTAGGGGAGGTGTCCCAAACCACCACATACCTTGGGAGTCCTCAGGAGGCTTGAACAGGGCCTTGGCTTCGTCCACACTGCCTTCGATTGCCACAGACAACGTTTTATCTAGGGGCAAGAACAATTTTCGTAGGGAAAGCTGCTGAGAGAAGGAGCTGAGCTATACACACAGGCCAGCACTGGGACTGGATACTGACTGCTACTGCCACAGCTCCTTATAGAACAGGGATAGGAGAGCAAAGCCCTCTCTTCAGAGAGGAACAAAGTGGGAAACTTAAGTCTTTTTTCCATCATTTACTGTAAGAATACCCTGACTCATAGCAACTTCTCCTTGGGTTTCCAAGGCAGTATCACTACAGAAGTAGATTGCCCAACCTTCCTTCCAAGGAGTCGCTGGTGGGTTTGAACCACCAGCCTTCTGGTTAGCAGTCAAGTGCCTTAGGCACTATGCTACCAGAACTCCCCCAAATTAACTTAGGACTCCCAAAATGAGATGGTAGCTAAACTAAGGTCTGAAGCGAAAATTCTACCTCCAATCAAAAGTAACCTCTGATTAGGAATGCAACTTATCATTTCTGTAATTCTCCACAGTATCCTGAGAAAATTATGTGATAAACAATTTCAGAGAACAATGGAATTTTGCTTACTTAGGGGTGCTGCTTGCTGCTTAAGAAGCCAGGTTCAAAACAATTCTTGTAACAGATGCTTACTCAAACCTTAGAATTACACATCCTCTCAGCAGTCACACACACAAGGAAGGTCTCACACTGCTTTAAGGCCAGATGTACCCAATTTAATGATTACTTTGTAACTTAAAAAAAAAAAAAAACTTTAGAAACATATGTAATCTCCTACCAATCAGATGTACCCTTACTCAATTTTGTAACCATTACTTAAATGTCAAGTAATCACTGAATTTCCTGATGTTCCTTGTAACCATTAGCTAAATGTCTACCAATCACTGAAATTTCACTGAAGTTCCTTAGAGTTTCTTATACAAATTCTCTAAATTGTCTCCTGCTTGGAGCACTTAATTCAGAATCCTCTGGACTTTGAGATTCCCTATTTGAAAACTGCCTTGCCTCTCAATAAAAGCTCTTTACTTTTTATTTCAACCAGATGCTGCTGTTTAGCCCTATATTTCTTGGTGTCAGAAGTGGCTCCAAAGAAGAGCTGCTGCAGTGACCCCCCCAGGAGGCTTGGGAACTTGAACCCTGGTACTAGCATGAGCCTCTTGGCTCACCGCTTCCCAAGACCTCAGGAGTCATCTCAGGTGAGGCCCCTCTCAGATCTGAGCTGCATTCTCTGTGTAGAGTTTTCCACACTTTATTGCAGATTGCTTTTTCTTTCATTTTCTTTGGATCTGTTTTCTTTTTAATTTACCCAAGGGTTGGTGCACAGTTTCGTCCAGATAGAAATAATTCTACTCTTTGAGGCCCTGTAGATATAGGGATAATTCTACTTTCAAAGAGCTGAATCACTATAACTAGCAAAATTCAGGCATAAGTCCACCAGTAAAAGTTATTTTGAGGTTTTGCTTTTGCCATGGACACTCATCATGAGTTAAAGACTCCCATGACAGGGTAAGTTGGTCATGAGACAGGCCAGAGCACTAGACTGCCTACTACACACAAGCAAACTCTCATGCAATGAAGATAAATGTTGGTCCAAACAAAACTCTATCCAAATCCCATGGTATTCCTCTCTAGGTTTTGTGACTCAGAGGAAACCAAGAGTAGTGCTCTTCATGTTTTTTTGTCTTTGAGACAATTGAGAATAGTGTTCTTTAATTTCAGGGCACATTTGGGTATGAATCACCAAATCTTACAAGAAAATAATGCCAACTGGCAAGGGAGGTAACAGCTCCTGATCTGTCTTATGAAATTCACAGGGGGAGGTGCAGCTCCTAGTTAGCATCACCTAACCAAAGACAATTAATAAAAAAATCAGTACCCACTTCAAAATACTTCCCAATTAGAAAGACTAGTGAATATAGGCTCCTAGCTGAAAAAATGAATTAGGTTAAGAAAAAAGATAAAACCAGGTTTGATGTGGTTGTTACAGAGGAATTTCAGAAGACTGACTCCCTCCTAAGGACGTTATTTGACTCTGAGAAATCAAAGTTTCACTCTAATTCTTAACATCCTTGATAAATGAGCATGGATTTCCCCCTGATGGGATGCTGGTTTGGGATTCATGTTCAAAAACACTGGATGTTGAATATACTAGAAGTAATTTCAGTGATCACTTTGGGAAAATGTAGAATTTCTATTTCAGTTTGTTTTAAGAAGCTTGTCTCTAATCTAGAATGTTGCTGTATCTGAGTTTCTGTATTAAGTTGAAGGCCATATGAGGCTGTCTAAAATTCTGAGTTCTTTTTTCATCCAAGAAAAATTGCTTTTTAGTATTAGAAATTTTGATATAAATCAGTCTATTTGAAAAATGCACTAAAAAAGAATAAATTGTTTATTTTGACTGGTGTAACAAGGCCTTAAAAAAGAGCGACAAATTGTTCTAAATTGCTTCTCTAAAGGATCCTAAAAAGCATTCAAAAGATGAAGTTATGAAATAATTTCCTATCTCCAAATGGTATTATTAGATTACAATATTTCTCCAAAGAATTTACTCTGATTGGTTTAATGATGAATGTTGTTGTTGTTGTTGTTATGTACCGTCGAGTCGGCCCCGACTCATAGCGACCCCTCCTTGGGTTTCCGAGGCAGTATCACTACGGAAGTAGGATTGCCCAACCTTAATGATGAATACACACTTATATAAATTGAATAGTCTTAATATTACCAGGAATTAATGAAAATAAATTTGTTCTAATGACAACTTTATGTTTATGGTGACCTTGAAGCAAAATCTTCCTAAGTAATTTAAGTTAGGTATTACATGACATACGCTTTATTTAAGGAAAAGAGGTAATTTCCAAGGATTGATGGGTTCATTTTTGCTGAAAAGCTTTACTATTTACTGAGTAGATAAAAGGTTATGACAAAATAAAGACAAAACAACTTACCAAGACAATGGTAAAAGTGGCAGCATTTCATTATTTTGTGTCTTTCAAAATACCTAAGCCATATGTAAATAAACGCTCATGATGAACGTCCATGACAAAAGCAAAACCTCAAAACAGCTTTTAAACTGGTGGACCTATGCCTGAATTTTGCTACTTATAGTGATTCAGCTCTTTGAAACATATATAAATAAACTGAGATGACCAATTCTTGTCTTTGAACATGAGCCAAAGATAAGGAGGGCCTCTTTGGCCCCCAGCTCTAAGGCCATGTAACTCCAGAGAAATTTTTAGAGAATCCCTCCCAACTAGGTATGTGAAGACCTTTAAGATAAAAGAAAATGAGAAAAATGCTAATTAATTCTCATTAATTACCATTAATTCCTGGTAATATTAAGACTATTAGTTATACAAAAAATTAGGTAAATCCTCATTATAAAAAACTGTAAACAAGCACTATTACACAGAAATACAAAAACAAAACAAAAAAACAAACTCACTGACATCGAGTCGGTTCTGACTCATAGGTGGGTTGGAACCACCAGCCTTATGGTTAGCAGTCAAATGCCTTAGGCATTACTCCACCAGAGCTCCCATAGAAAGACAAAGAAGCCAAAAGATAGAAATCACAATAAGACAAACCTAAAATGGGCTGAGAAAGTATTTCCAGACCTAACCAGAAATTTGAGGTTATACCCAGTCAAGTTGGTCAAGTTAAGCAGAAAACCTGTGATTTCCAAGATCAGCTGATAAAATCTTAAAGGGCTAAAATCAGATTGGGGAAATATGGGAAATGGTAAGTTTAGAAGATGTAAATAAACTACATTTCAACACAAATATTTTGCAGTATATAGGCTTAAAATAATTTCCAAGATCCATAATTCATATGCTATTGAATTTATAGATATTCATTAAAATTTAATCTTATATACTTCTGTTTTTACATTATAGGGAAAGCGTGCTGTGAGTGTGTGTGTTTGTGTATTTAGGTTTGGTAACCCACCAGCCACTCCTCGGAAGGAAGGTTGGGCAATCCTACTTCCGTAGTGATACTGCCTCGGAAACCCAAGGAGGGGTCACTATGAGTCGGGGCCGACTCGACGGCAAATAACAACAACAACAACAACAATGAGTATGTTTGGGAGCTCTTGTGGCGTAGTGCTTAAGGCATTTGACTCCTAATCAGAAGGCTGGTAGTTCAAACCCACCAGCCACTCCTCAGAAGGAAGACTGGGCAATCCACTTCCGTAGATACCACCTAGGAAACCCAAGGAAGGATCACTACGAGTCGGAAACAACTCAATGGCAGTGAGTTTGGTTTTGGTTTAATGAGTATGTTCATTTTTTGCCACTTAAAGGGTTTTACTATAAGAGATATACAACAACAAAAAATGTTTAAAAATATCTATTAAAAAGGGAATTTACTTGATATGTTCAGTTTTTATCAGTTGCAGCTAAAATATAATGGATTAATTTACAAAATTTTTAAGAGCTTGAATGTCAAATATAAAGCAAAGAACTGGGTTTCTTACGGTTAAAATAACAGAATTTTCCTTGATTAGAATAGTTCATTTTATTCTTTGTACAATCTGTCTTGATGGCAAGGAATCAACAGAATAAATTCCTAAGTCAAAAACCAAGCCACATGACTTTGGAAAAAGCTAAGATTTTTACTTTAAATGATCTTTGGTTAAATAACTCAGGAATTGTTCCTCTGTAACCTATGATAAACTCCTAACAATTCTGAAATATTGTGAAAAGCTACAAAAGATTTGTTTCTGCCAAAAAAGGTTAATTTGATATGTGATGAATTACTTGAAGTATGTTGTCAAATCAAGAGAAATTCCTAATTTTCTTTAGGTTAAAATTTATGTCAATGATTACAATGTGTGGCTCTTCTCACCATGTTCTTTGTGACTCCCATCACATTACTGGGTGGAACTATGCAAATGTAAGGTGCTTATGGCCTACCAAGGCGACTGGATAGTTTGCTGATAATGTAAATAAGGCACATGGTGCTTTTGTGGGTGTGAGACTATGAAAATAAGGTGTACAAAACCCTAATGTGAGGATTGGTTAGTTCTGCCATCTTGCTAGGCTGAAAATAAGCCATCCCAGAGGCTAATGAGAAAAATGCTGTCTAATTATAGCTATACAAAAAATTTGGTAAATCCTCATTATAAAAAACTGTAAACAAGCGCTATTACACAGAAATACAAAAACAAAACAAAAAACCAAACTCACTGACGTCGAGTCGGTTCTGACTCATAGGTGGGTTGAAACCACCAGCCTTATGGTTAGCAGTCAAATGCCTCAGGCTCTACACCACAAGGCGGGAAAACTGTCATCAAGACAAGCAGCAGCAGGAATGGAGTGCATTCCTAGACCCGAGATCATGCACTGGACCTCCTTGGCAGAGAGGCAGTAGAGAGGTGGTGGTTGCAGAATCAAGAGAGAGCGCAGTGGGCTTCCGGGCCCATGGAGTGAGAAAGCTGAGTGGCAGGCAGCTTGCTAACAGCGTGGTTCTCTCTAGGCACCTGTTTGACTAAAGCTAAAACAGCTCTGTAACACTGGCCCGAGTGGGGCAGAGGTTGAGGGCCAAAGAGACACATGGCTGCAGCATGGCTAAGAAGCTGTCCTGATCAAAACTTTGTTCCTGAACCTGAACTGTACCCTGTTACTTCCCTAATAAATCCCACAACTGTAAGTATTGTGTGGCCATTGCAATGAACTATCAAACTCAGCAGAGAAGTAGAGAGAGCCACAGGAGGGATGGCTGGTGTCAAAACTGGCAAAACAGTTAGAGGGTGGAGGCATGTCTGACTTCCAACTCATAGACATAAGCCTTGGGCTGCTGATGGCGATTTTCGCGCCCCTCCATGAACTTAAAGGCAGTCAGAAGACACCACCACCACACCCTTTTTGCAATGATGTTGTCATAGTCTTATCATTACTTTGCTAATTTAGTTGCAACTTTATTTCTTCTAAATCTAGCATTATCAAAGCCAACAGCTTAATTGAGGACTTCACATCATTTACCAATGCAATTTTTTTTATTACTAGTCAGATGTATAAAGACTTGACAATGTTAGGATGTTCTTAAGCATACCCTGACTACACAATATTATGTCTCAAGATTATATGTTGAGAATAAAGTTAATCATTATGTTTAGAAAAATATTTTGTCTAAATTTTTTTTTTTTTTTTTTAAATCAACCTTATTTGGTTCTATATTAATTTTGTAATTAATTCCCATCAGGTCTTTCCCTTTTAAGAAATACAAGTTTTGTCATTACAGATAAGTTTTTACTTACTGACCTGCTGAAAATGCTTGACTGAAATATTTCAACAAAAATGGACTATGTCAGATTTATGAAGGGCTATAATATTTCAAAAGTAGATACCATTGGACTCAGTTAAGATTTCCAAAAGTCTTACATAGAAACCAATCCAGAACTGCATGGAACAAAAATTAACTACGTAAGACTGAGTAAACAAAAAGAATTGCTACAAGGTTTTTGTAAGAATATTGCTGATGCCCAATGTTCTACTTTCTAGATAGAGGAAATTATTTCTGCCCCCCCTCTATTTTAATATATGAATCAGTTGTTTCAATAACTAATAACATTATATTAACTGCAAAGTATCCTGTGGATTACATGGTATGGCACATGCCAAAGTTGAAACCAAATATATTCAGAATGATTTAAATGATTCTGCCCTTGGACTCTAAGAAATGAATACTGAAATGACTATGATTAAATATATACATACACACACACACAAACAAAAATCTATCTATCTATCTATCTATATCTTCAAAATCAAATAGATATTTAACAATCTTGTTAACTCCTTAACTGATATTATTCTCTATTTTTAAAGTCATCCTCATCATTTCCATTATTATAAAATACTGCATCTGCCATACTATATTTCACTATGAAAGAACATTTTTTTCAAGCTTAAAAAGATCTCTGAAGACCAGAAGTTAAAATCCCCAAAACTGCCTAACACCTGACTGGCAATGTCATATTTACCTGGGAAACACAGGACAGTGGAGAAGCACCTGAAATCCAGTCTTTGGCCTCTAACTACCAGTTACATAACCTGGAAAAATCATGTCACTGCTCTGACCCTCAGTTTCCAATTCTAAGAAATGGAGTCTTACCCACAGTATTTGCCCTGTTGGGTGGGGAAGACAGAATGAGATAATGCTCATAATTTTAATTATAAAATTATATAAAAACAATTTTTATTCCTCACAATAACCCTTTAAGAACGAGACTATTATGATAGCCATTTGCAGATGAGAAAGGTAAGGCTTAGAGAAGTGAGCCATCATAGCCAGGAAACACATAAAATGAATTCAAGACCAGGTCCGTTCAACCTGAGCTGGTCCTCTCAGGTATTAAGTAACTAGCCTGTTTGTGCACCAGGCCTGACACCTCAGAGTTAATGCCTTGGGCCTGCCTTTCCTGCCCTTGTGGAACCTTGTGGGCCTAGCTTGGTGAGGTCACACTGGCCACCTCCCCTTCCTGCTCCATTCATAAGGTACTGAGAGTCACAAGAGCATGAAATGGTTTGCTTAACTTTACTAAGAAGGGATGGCAAACATCCCTCCAGTGGCAGGCCATTGAGATAATATACCCAGGCAGTCAACCACTCCTTGTTCCTGACAACCCTTCATGAGCCATCACACCCCATGACAAACAAGCTGGTTGATCCATCAACCACTGGTAAATGCTGCACTATTTCTTTGAACAGTTTAATCCTGGACTTCTACAATAAAATGGGATAGCAAACCCACTGATTTTAAACACAAAAGAAAAAAAAAATTACTCACCCTGCTTAGGGGGCTGGGAGGAGGATTTCATGTGAGCTGATGATAGAAAGAGGACAGAGAACAAAGGGGAGGGAGAGGACCAGAAGAACCAGGAAGACATAAGAAGAGAGACAATAATGTGCTAGTGTCATGGCTCGGGGGAGAGGCATGCCCTATGCAAAGGACGTCCATCTGATGAGGTGGAGTGGGTGGAAGCAGAGAGAAAATTTTAGGTGCTGGGTGAAAGCTGTATTAAAGCAACAGGCAGGGTCTGAAAAATTTCTCAAAGCCCCAGTAGAGCCATGGGCCTCCCTTAAGTTTACTAAGGACATATCATGCAGTCTGTTTGGGGGCATGGAGAAAGCCTGGGAGTAGCTGGGACCTGTGTTCACCAAGTCCTCTTTCTAAAGCTAAGCAAGAGATGCTAAATCACCTGCCAAGTGTGCCTGCTGAGGACGGCAGCCACCTGAGAGCCTGGATAGACTGCCTGGGCTCTGTACTCAACAGCTGTCTGGCCAAGTTCATGAAAGACTCAAAGCCACCCATCCTGAAATGGTGGCCTCAGGCCAGCTGGTGAGGGCAGCCATGCTGGGCGGTGCAGGGGGGAGGCAGCAGCCACTGGCAGGCTTTGGAGCAGGGCCAGTAGCATTCCTCAGCAGGCAGGGTATCCAAAGGACTCATGGGCTGTGCTGTTGTTCCTACAGTGTCTCCTCCTTGTCCAACACCCATACTCACCACAAGCCTGCCCATATGCAGTGGCCTGGACAAAGAGGACGTAGAGAGGAGGTGGCAGATGTCTGGCTGTCTCATATTGCTTGTGGGCCTGGTCGAATGGCATGAACAAGTACTCTTGCACTGGGAGAGACGCCTGCACGCAACAAAAGAAGGATTTTCATTTTTCCCTTTTAAGGCAATCCACATAGGAGCATATGGCCACTCGGTAAACTGTATATAGTTTACGTACTTGTAACAGTGATACATCATAAACTAACAGAATTAGTAGTGGACAAAAGATCAATGCAAAATATGAATTGTTTTTCTTTATATGGTAAAACCTGAGAAAGCTGGAAGCTATGAAAGGCATAAACTTGTCAGAGAAGGAAAATGCAAGTACTTTCCACAAAAACAACTGGCAGAAATGTGGTAAGCCTGCACCCTGTCAAAGGCGGAAAACTTGAGAGACCTGGAAAAACAAGGCAGTCTGGTTGAGTTCTGGTTCTCACGAATTTCACTGTATAAGAAGAAACAGTAAGAAAATGAAATTATATATATATATATATATATATATAAAAACATTTCCAAGAGCACTCAAGAAAATATCTAATACCTAAGAATAAATAAATGTAGATCTAAACAAATGCAGATATGAATAAAAACAAAACAAACCGACTCACTGCCGTCGAGTCGGGTCCGACCCATAGCGACCCCCCTTTGGGTTTCCGAGACGGTATCACTACAGAAGTAGATTGCCCAACCTTCTTTCCCAGGAGTGGTTGGTGGGTTTGAACCGCCAGGCTTCTGGTTAGAAGTCAAATGCCTTAGGCATTATGCTACCACAGCTCCTGAAGATATGTTTACCACATGTTAATGTGTTAGAAGAGTCAATATTGTCAAAATGTTAACTTTATCCTAAAGTGGTCTACAGCTTCAATGAAAATTCCAGCAGGTAGAAATAAACACGCTGATTATAAAATTTATATGTAAAGGCAAACGGCCAAGGATAACCAAGGCAATCCCGAAAGAACAAAGCTGTAGGATTTATAATACTGGGCATCTAGACTCCTGATAAAACTACAGTAATTAGGACAGTGTGGTACGGGTGTATGGACATATATATAGGTCACAAAGATGTATTTATTATGACAAAAGTGGCCCTATAAAACAATGGAAAAGATGTTTTTTGTTTTGTTTTGTTTTTGGTAAATGGGTCAGTTGAACATTTATGTAGATTAAAAAACAATGCATCTTCACCCTTACCTCACACTGTCTATAAAAATCACTTCTGGGCAGAATACATATCTAAATGTGAAAGGTAAAGGATAAAGTTTCCCTAAAAAAACATAGGTGAGTATCTCCAGGACTTTGGGATACAGAAAGATTTCTTTGACTGGACACAAAGGCACTAACCTTAAAGGAAAAGATAATTAAGCCATATGAAAAGTAAAGAACTCTGTTCATCAAAAAGGAGCTCTGGTAGTATAGTGCCTAAGGCATCTGACTGCTAACCAGGAGGCTGGCAGTTCAAATCCACCAGCCACTCCTCAGAAGGAAGGTTGGGCAATCTACTTCTGTAGTGATACTGCCTCGGAAACCCAAGGAAGGGTCACTATGAGTCAGGTGTGACTCAATGGCAGGGAGTTTTTTCATTCATCAAAAGAAGGAGCTCTGGTGGTGTAGTGGGTAAGGCATTTGTCTGCTAACAGAAGGTTAGAGGTTCAAACCCACCAGCTGCTCCACAGGAGGAAGATGAGGCAATCTACTTCTATAAAGATTTATAGACCTAGAAATCCAATGGAGGTCGCTTGAGTTGGAATTGACTTGATGACAGTGGGTTTGGTTTGATGGCTTGGTTCATCAAAAGACACCATTATAAGAGTGAAAAGGTAAGTCACAGAATGGGAAAAGACAGCTTCAAAAGATTCATCTCCAAAATATGTAAAGAACTCCAGGCAACACAACAGAAAAATGGGCAAAAGAGTTAACAGGCCCTTCACAAAAAAAGGTTATCTAAAATACCATTAAGTATAGACAGGCCTGTGAGGAACAATTACACCAGGGAGGCACATACCCCTTAGGACAATCAACCATGGGAGATGAGAAAAGTAGCATCTGCACAGGGAAAGCTCAGTAAGCAGGACTACACAGGAAAGAGGGACACAACGAAAAGTAACCACAGGAAAGAAGTGGGAAGAAAGCTGTTACATTGTGGGGATTACAATCAATGACATGAAACAAAATATGTATCAACTGTTGAATAGAAAACAATTTACTCTGTAAATTTTAACCCACATCACAATAAAAAGTTAGAAGAAGGAAAAAAAAAAAAGCCAGTTAAATATGTAAAAGGTACTCGATGCCACTGATCTTCAGGGAAATAAAAATTAAAACTATAATGAAATACCTTTCAGAAAGACTAAAATTAAGATGACTGGTAATACCAAGTGGTGACAAGGATTTGGCAACTGGAACCCTCAAAGAATGCTGGTGAGAATGTAAACTGATACAATCACTTTAGAAAATTGTTGATCAGTGTCTACTAAAGCTAAGTATATGTGTATGCTATGACCAAGCAATTTCATTACTGAGTATATAAGCAACACATGTGTACACATGTACACCAAAGGACATGTAAGAGAAAGTTCAAATAGCTCCAAACTGGAAACAATCAAAATCAAATAGTAAACAGTAATGAAAATAACTTACTCCTGGTACTTGCAACAACACAGAGGAATCTCATAAACATGTCGATACAAAAAAGTACACAACACATGAGTCTTTTTATATATAAAGTTTGAGAACAGGCAAAACTAAGTTAGATGGTACAGTCAAGATAATGGTTACATGAGGAGTAACCACTGTGATGGGGAGAGGAATAAAAGGGCTGCTGGAAAGGGGATAATGTTCTCTTTCTTGATCATGGAGCTAGCTACACACGTATGTTCTCTCACTCATTGAGTTGCACACTTATGACTTGAACCCTTTTCTGTACATATATATTTTATTTCAATATATACACATTGTTTCCTTTATAAACTTGAATATAACTCAAACTTGAGTTATATTCAAGTTTATAAAGCAAAAACTCCCAGTTTCTAGCCCCAGAGGAATTTAATGGTTTGGCACGAAGAGACTTTTCTTAGCATGTACATGACTCGCACATGTATATATATCCATGCAGATACTTTGTAAATATAATACACAAATAAGATCATACCATATGTTTGTCCTACAACTTACATATTTTGTTTAATGGTATGATCTTTTTCCTATCCAATTATTCTTCCTATCATTGGCATGATGTCCCATATTTCCATCACAGCTACAAGGCTGTGAAACTCATTGCTGTGGAGTCGATCCCGACTCATAGTGACCCAACAGGACAGAGTAGAACTGCCTCATAGGACTACCAAGGTAATCTTTATGGAAGCACACCGCCGTATCTTTCTCTTGTGGAGAGGCTAGTTGGTTCAAACCACTAACCTTTTGGTTAGGAGCCTAGAGCTTAACCACTGCACCACCAGGGCTACAGTAATTTATTTAACCCGTACCCTATTTATGGGGAGCTCTGGTAGTGTAGTGCCTAAGGCATCTGACTGCTAACCAGAAGGCTGGCGGTTCAAACCCACCAGCCACTCCTCGGAAGGAAGTTGGGCAATCTACTTCCGTAGCGATACTGCCTCGGAAACCCAAGGAGGGGTAGCTATGAGTCGGGTCTGACTCGAGGGCATATAACAACAACAACCCTATTTATGAAGATTTAGAGTTTCTAGTTAACAAAACAAAATGTAGCCATGCTGAACTTGGTGTTAAGTATAACCAAAACAAACCACATGTAGTTTTTCTTTCTGTCCTACTATGAAGTGCTACTGGAGAATATATCTGTTAATAACTCTAATTCTAACCCTAGTGTTGAAGATCTTGCCAAATTCTAGAAAAATGAATCTGTAACTTTTCAAGGATCCTTTTACAAAATTCCTCCACTTAATCCACTTGCCCTGCTTCATGAACTATAAGAATTTAAACCAAATCTAGCTTCATAAAGCAAACAAAAATCAGGCCACCTACATAGGAAGAAAGTGTATTTTATATGTAAAATGGGGACTTTCCCCTCTAAGGTAACTAACGGCTTTCAAATATGAGTAAAGTTCCTTTCAGAGTAAGTAGATCTGCTGAGGAGCCT